GGAGCGGCGTCCGGGCCTCAGCCCCCGGGAGGCACCCGGGGTGTGTGTGTGTGTTTGTGTATATATACATATATATGTGTGTGTGTTTGTGTATATATACATATATATGTGTGTGTGTTTGTGTATATATACATATAGATGTGTGTGTGCGCTGCCCCGGCCCGAGTCCGGGCGGCAGCGAGGCCTGTGGGTGCGGGCAGTGCGGGCGAGTGACGGTGTCTGGTTGCAGGTGCTGGGCAGGAGGATGGAGGGGATGGTGTCTGCTGCGTGGGCCCGTTGTCTCTTCACCAGGTCGAGGATTCCAGACTCGGTATGTGCTCCGGTATTTGCTTTCACTTGGTCAGCTCTGAATTGGCCAGACAGTTGGATTACACGATCATTGTAGGTCCCTTCCAGCTGAGATATTCTATTCAATAGATAATTAAAACCAAAGGGGTGGGAAGTTTGACTTACATTGTACATCTTTATACTTTTTAGCTTGTCATTTTGCAAGACACCATCTGGTGCCAGTTGACTCTTTTCCTTAAAATAATTCTTAAAGCCTTCAACCACTCAGAGGCTAAACAGAGGTTCTTCAAGGAGATGTATGTGAATTAAGTGCTGTGCTGCTATAGGGTGTTGTCCATTTATTTCTATGCACTTGTGTGGCCAAACTCGAGCACTAATGTATCCAACAGCAAGCTATTATAAAAATATTTTTAATTAATATTATAAAAGCTAAATTTCAGGTTGCTTGGTTCTTTGACCTTCTGGAAGGAAAGGCAGTTAAACATCTAAGAATTTTTACAGGGGCTGAAGTGTGGTTTAGAGAGTTAACTATAGCAATAATAATTCAGATGTTTAGGGAAAAACCTTGGTTTTGTGAACTTCTTGTTCTAGGTATTACAGCCACGGCCTGGAGATCATGAAAAGTATGGAGGTGACCCTGAGCAGCCCCACAAAGTCCACGTTGTTACTAGAATTAAAAGTGTAATTGGTCGCCCATATTGGGAAAAGAAGATAATACGTTATCTTGGACTGACTAAAGTATGATTGTTGTTCTTCATACTTACTGTGTACATCAGAAATGTAGAAACCTAGGGTAGAATTAAGGTGATGGGTTTTTTTCTAAGTGCCTCAATTTTGCAGTCACAAAACTTGGATTGTTTTACAGCTGATATAAATGTAATTGAGCTGAGAGGAACGTTAATGGCAAACGCCCTTTTAGTGGGAATTCTGAAAATCAGTGGTATTCCTCTGCATGCCTGAGGAGAACTTTTACTTTGAGAATTCTGCTAAAATAATAAAAATACGTTTGTAAAAACTTTTAACTCTGTTTTCTCTGGGGGTCATATTATTCAGCTATTGCAGGTAGGCAAGTAAGACTAATTTATGAAGAGGCTTCCAAATCCAACACTCTTAAGAGTTAGTGTCAAAGATGTGTTTATCCAAAGTTTTTAGACCAACTGCATGTTGTGCAAAGATTCATCTAGTTGGTGTTACATTACTGAGAAGAAATGTGCTTGATCAATTTAAGATCTAACTGAAGCAACCAGTCTTGCCCCTGAATTCCTGTGTTTACATTTATCGTATTTTTAACTGTTGGAAGAAATTTCAATATCTTGAGAATGTAGTAGGAATAAAACTGTATTTGCCATTTTTCTGGTATTGAATTTAGCCAAGTTTTGATTTAGTATTTTTATGTACGTTCTTGATGCATGACATTTCTCTACATTTTATATTTGCAAATGTGGGTTATATTTTTACTGATACCATGAGAAGCTCATTGATTTGAGGTTTGGTGCATTTGTAAAACCTGTTCTATCCTTCATCTAGGCACATCAGCCAAGACTGCACAAAAATATCCCTTCTGTGAATTCCAAACTGAAAGTTATTAAACATCTTGTGAGGTTTGTTAACTATTTGTTTATTTTGGAATACTTAGTGTAACTCTCTTCTAGTCACAGTACTTGGCTAAGCAGTCTCTTTTCCCTGTAGAATACAGCCACTGAAACTACCTTATGGATTGCCGACGGAAGAGGAAATGTCAGACACCTTTCTTAACAGCAAGGGAGAGCTTGTGATTAGACGGCGCCTGAAGCCTGTGGAGCAGAAAGAAATTAAGGCATAAGGTGTGCTTGTTGGATTTATGTTTTATAAAATAAATAACTTAACTCCTGAGCTGAGAGTTTGTGTGTGAAATTGTAAGCTTAGTTCTTGAACTGTCTGGTATGAGTGACAGAGGTGACACTGATGCTTAGAAGAGAGTCATGTGTGTACAAATACAAAATTCAGTTTTGGTAATGTTTGCCTGAAGTATTAAATTAGCGATAGGCTTTCTTTCCTCATGTTTGAATGGCTGGATTAGTGCAGTTCGTGGCTGGCCATTAGATAACTTTATTTATTACATCAGGTATTAGAGAACATTATTTATAACATCAGATAAGCAGGAAAGTGAGTAGAATAGATTTAACTAATAATGGTGAGGACATTTCTCAGTTAAGAGTAAATGTTTACAGTGATGGTGCATTACTTCACCTTTACTGTGCAAAGGAAGGAACTGGAGTTGAAAAGCCCTCTGGTTAGCCAGTTACATGAGAATTGATTGGCTGTCCACTGAGAGTGTTGGTGGATTGAGGCAGGGTGACTTACCTTGGTGATCCAGATCTCACACTTGTTCATTAACAAATGGTCATCTGGCCTTCTCTGAAGCTTTAAAAAGTCCCTGAACTCCCCATTTGGGAGTAATAAGGAGTGTTTCACATCTTGATAGGTTGTATCATTTGTCTTTCAGGAAGCGTGTCATCTCATACCTATTTTTTTATTGTAAATGTTCAATAATAAGACCTGCAATCTATGTGAAAGTTGATGCTTTTCCTGTTCTAAAATCCAAATGTTAGAAATCTGGAGACCCTGAAGCATGCCTCTTTGATGCAAGTTAGTTATGGACTGCAAGCGTATAAAATAACACCTTTTACTGAAGGATCTTGAATAGTACCGAGTGCATGCTTTTATTTACAGTTTAGAGAATTGTGGCCGAAGTTTGGAAGCTGCTGCTGTATCAAATGATAAAGTAGTTGTCATTCCAGCAAGCATAAATGCCATAGTTCCACACTGTGAGCCTCTCCCACACTAGGCACTCTGTAGAGGAGTTAATCTTAATGACTGTATATCGTGGTAAGACCAGAGGGATACAGTCGCTGAAAACGAATGTTTATCTTTCCTGCACGCTTGCAGAGAAGAGAAAACACTAGTCATTGAAAGGCATAGACATAGCAGTAGAGGGACATAAAAGCTGTAGACGCTGTGCAAAAGAAAAATAAGGATAAGTTGTAGTAGTGGCAATGAAGAGTGTAATAATAGTTTCTATGGACAGACTGAAGACAGAAGCAAAACTTAGCTGAAACATCTTAATTTCTGAAGAAGCTACAGGCTGCAGTTGGAAGGACACAGAAAATACTGGTATCAGTCTATAGAACAGCAAGGAAAAAGTGAAGCAGATAAATGAATGTTGCTTTTTGTCCCTCCCTCCTTCCTTCAGCACCTGCACAGTGTCTTGTGCTGTGGTGTGTTGTAACTGCAGTCTCTGTGGGGTGTTGATCATGTTTCCCACAGGGAGGTACTTAGTAGAAGCTGAAATTTCAGCCCTTTTGAAGGATGTGTGTAGTGCATCCAAGGTACAGGGCATGCTTAAAAAAGATGACACAAGTACTAGAGCCCAGAAAATTTGGCAAATGGATCTTGTTGCTGAAGGATAGCAAATGTAAGACTTGTACCAGGTTTTGTGGCCTAGAGCACAAAATCCAGGATCACTCCTCCCTGCCAAGCACAATCAGGATTTGTTTCTATGGCACTGCAGCCTGGTGAGTCTCCCAACAGAGGGAGCACTGCCAGTTCTGTCATGCGCTGTGCGTATGTACGAAAGTGGATCCTGCATTCATTACACTATACAAATGCTGCAACCTTCAAAAGTACTTCAATGTAAACGGGAAAGAACATATTAATAAACAAGCTTGCTTGATACTATGCACAACTGAAAAAATGTGTGATAAACTACCTAAGTTAGAGCAGAGCTGATAACTGCTTTCCAGATACAGGGAAGGGAAAATGCTTTAGACAGTAACTGTAAATTCTGAGTAAGATTTAGCTGCAAGACATCTTTACACCTGTCTTTAATTGGCAAGCTATAGCTCATCTTTACACCTGTCTTTAATTGGCAAGCTAGCTTTTTTTTTAATGGAAAAGGAAATGGTATTTAACATTTTCTAATATATGTGTAAGTTTGAGAGTTTCTTAAATGGTATTCCTCCAAGGTCACAATCTGCTATCCCAAACCTTCTCAAGTTCTCTGAAGGTTTGCTCTCAATTTTAAAATCTGGACCAACTGGGTGTGTAAACAGTGTGTGTTCACATCCTTTAATTAATGAGGAACTGTAAATGCTTCCTGAAAATCTTCATGAAGCACAAGTAACAGATGATGCCTTTTTGTGCAGGGAGCAAACAGGCTGATTTAAGATAATAGCAAAATTCAGACTGAAAGGTACCTTGCAGGTCTCTAGACAACCTCCTGCTCAAGGCAGGGCTAGCACTGAGGTCATACCAGGTTGCTCAGAACTTTGTCCAGATGGCTCTTGAAAACCTCTGAGGACAGAAACAGCTCAGCCTTTCTGGCAGCCTGCTCTGCTGCCTGGCTGTCCTCATGGGGAAAGATTTTATGCGGAGCACGGTCTTGTATCCAGTCTGAACAACTCTTATTTCAGTTTATACTCATTGTCACTTTTCTTCCCACCTTGCATTAGCAGGAGCCAGCCTGGCTCTTTCTGCTCAGTTATCTCTCACAGATAGGTGCTGTGGGGCTGCTGTTAGGTCTACCTGAAGCTCTCCCTTCTCATGGGGCAAGTTCTCCAGCCCAAACTACCTTGGTGGCTCTTCATTGACGTCACTCTACTTAATTGGTCCTTTCTGTGTCAAGAGGCCCAAAACTGGACACTGCTCTAGATGTAGTTTAACAAGTGCTTAATAGAGGTGTGTAATCCCTTCCTTTAATCAAACTGCTGTTCATTACAGCCCAGGGTACCTTTAGCTGCCTTTGCTACTTGGGCACAAAGCTGGCTCATGTTGACCTTGCTTCTAGGGTAGGAACCACTTGCCATGTCTACCTAGTATTTGAAGTATATTCAACCAAATCTTTGGTGCAATATGTGGTAGCAGTGTAGAAGTGTACTGTTTTTAGAATTAATTTCTATTCTGTGCAGGTTCACCCACTTTCATATTTGGTAAGTACTACCACAGTGAGAGTAATTAATGCAATTTTAATAATAGCATCAGGTACAAAATGCTAGCTATAAAAAATGCACCATATTTAAAACAAAGAAACAACACCCATGTCTTTTTATTTCTCCTTTAGTCCCTAGTGATATGCTTGAGGAGGTTTTTTTAACCACTCTAAACCGCTTTTCTCCCTTTTGTTTTGAAGTGACTGAATGAACCCAACTCTGAAGCTAAGGCTCCCCAAAAGCATTGCTGTATGATGGATTAAAAGCATCTGTTTATTGTGCATGAACTTGCATTAGTTTTTATAAACTACATCCCATTTTAAAAGCATGATGTAATGTGCATATAATTACTCCAGACCCTGCACTGAAGCAAATATATTGCTTCAGTAGAAGTATTCATTACAGCAGTTGAGTAAAACATTGAGTTTTACAGATTGTTTGCTACCGTAAAGGCTAAAGTGAAGTAGTATCAAGGGCAAAAAAAGGTTAAGGATAGCTTAGTTTTTCCCTCCTGTCACAAGAAACAACTGCTCTCACCAAAGTTAAGAGCAATTATTCTAAAGGTATATGATACTGTCAGATGCTCTTCTGGTAGTTTAAACATATGCAGTATTTATTGCAGATACTCAATTCCAAAATTGCAAATAGTTAGCAAATTTTGTACTGCTGTTAGACAGATGTACTGACAGATAACATCTAAAGCAGATAAAATCTTATTAAGCAGTGTTATAACTTTCTTTCAGTGTTTATCTGCTGCTTAGGAAACTGCAAGCACAGGTGAAAACTGCCTGAATATTCTTGTGAAGCCAGATGAAAAATAAATGGCAAAAGATAGGTTGCAGTTAGGATTATTAGTAGTGTTAGCTTTTAATGTGATTTTTTTTTTAGCTCTGGTTGAAAAAGTAACATTGAAAGCTTGCACTTGTTCCTGGTGTCATTGCCCTGCCCCATTCTTAATCTTTCTGGGTGAGAAATCCAGGATTTTAAAAATTAGAACAAAGTATGCAATCAGTGACTCAAATCTAATAATCACTCAGATATCTCAGTATCCGTGTTTCTTATAAAGCTGGGCTCTTGCAACCACATCATTGGAATAGTCACGGTGTGTTGTGCCATTATCCACACTGTCGTAGCTCTGGATATTGCTATATCCCGCATTGTAGGCTGAAATCCCACCTGAAATGAGAGTGAAAGAAACACGTGAACGGAGGTGATACTTCATCAGTAAATAAGCAAACGAACAACAATCATAACTTAAAGCAACTTAAATACATTGCTTTAGTTCCATCACTCTGTTCACCAGGATTGTAGTACCATTTCCAGCTATTTGTGTCACTGAGGTGTTCCTTTTGTGTTTCATTTTTGTGAAGAAATCATAATTTCCTCCTTTACATCAAGACTTGGTGACCATTTTCCCCTTGCTTTATGTTGTTAATGTAGCATCGTCAGTTGTGCGACTGTTTCCTTTCGTGCATATTCCTTCATCTCTACCTGCATTAATGACGTATTTGTATTGTACTTGGAGTAAAGGATCCAGTCAGCTTCAACTGTAATCAGTGCTCAAGAATATAACTGTATTTCCTCCAGAGAGGACCATAAATTCTGAAAATGAAAGTGTTCCTTCTTTGGAGTTGCCAGGATAGGAGCTTTTTGTAGGTGGGTATAGAAACATAAAACAAATGAAATGAGGAGAGGTGGAGAAAAACCCACCCTTAGTCCTTGCAACTGAAAAATGATACTTGCCAAGTTTTCTAAAAGCCTGCTAGAAAGCTAACCACATCTTCTTCCTCTGGTCCTTTTAGTGAGTGTCAAGGAATATTGTTCCACACCTTAATAAAATTAACAGGGGTTTGGGATGTGTTTAGTTTTCTGAGGTGCTTGGTTTTACAGTGTTACTGCACGCTACTTGTATGTGTGTGAAAAGTTGTAAAGGTCACAATACTCTACCTTTGAGTTGCTGTTCTTTAGTCCATGTTGGGAATTTCTTCGCGACTTCCTTTATCATGTAACATAAAATCTCTGTACCTTGCATTAAGTGTTCTTCACTGTCCCATGCTCCAACAATCTTATGGTACCGTTTGTCAACCTGAAAGTGAAACAGCAATATCAGCACACCAGAAACCCAGGATTTATCCAAAGCTTTTAATTGCTTACAGGCTGGTTGTATTAATTTTAATCCTTAATCTTATTACTTACAGCTTTCATAATTGTATAGAGAGGAAGCAAACTGAGCTCAAGTTGAAGACAGAGTCAGCAGATTAATGATTAGCAGACTATTGGGGCACTGAAGAGGAATGCCTGCCCTACATCCTTGTCTGTCACAGCCTTAAAAACCCAACACAGCTGCTGCTGTAAAGGTGACAGGGTGCAAAAAGAGCATTTCTTGCTGCTTAAGCTTTTACAGATGCAAAGACTGCTCCTCTCCTCCCAAGCTGCATCAAGGGTGGGAAATTCCCTGTTTCCTCTAGGGACCTGCCTTGAATCTCTGCCCCAGTTCAAGTTTTCTGTCACCTTAATCCTTCTCTTATTCTTTTCTTTCACCTCTTACCCATGGGGTAGTAAAGTGCAAGTCTGAGGGAGTTGGACCTGTTACAAAGTTGGATTCCAATGCATGCAGCAAATGTGTAGGGATTGTATGGGTAAGAGTACAATTTGGCAAACAAGTGAGGCATGAATATAGGCAGGAATAATGAAGCAAGTTCCCCCACCAGCCAGGCCCCTCTGGTACATAAACAGTAATGAACATGACTGTAGCTGCAGCCTCCATGCTTAGTTAAAAAAACTAAAATGCTTTCTGAAACAAGATTTATTGTCTCAAGTATGAGATGGGAACAAGTAAGGAGTGGTTTCACAGTGCAAAAGCAGTCTGTTCATGTTGTGACACTCACAGGGGCCCATCCCCTGTGCTGTGAGCTGATGGCCAGGTCAGTGTCAGCTTTATTCTGGCCAAAGTTGACTGAAAGACTTAGGAAATAGCCCTTTAGCTTGGCCCCTAATGCTCTTCTTTCTGCTTCAAAAGAAGGATGAGGTTGTGTTTCTAAGAATGTTCACTATACCTGCATTAAACCAAATGCATTTCCATGGTCACCCCAGCCATTCTCCAGGACTGCCCCAGCATGCGACTCTCGAGAGATAATACCAGCAATCACAGCTGGATCAACACACTTGCTGTTGCCAACTCTTTTAATCATGGCTTGGTATTTCCCCATGTTCTTCAAATCGTTTTCTGCAATCTTCTGTGAGGCTGCAACTCCTACAACACAATGTACTTTACTTTTGCTTTCATTTTTAGAATCAGAAGCAAGTTGTTTTAACAGTCATTATGACTGAGCTGATGTTTTGAATAATTCTGAATCAATTTAGAGAAGCAATGATAATTGACCGATTTTGCTGAAGGGTAAGTGCCCTAGAAATCAATACAGAAATTATAGAAAATATATTTTTCCAAATACAGAGGGCAGTTTTTTAGTGTGAAGACTAGAAGGCATGTCATCTTGTTTTAAATCTAAGCCTCTGGGTGTATTAGTCCCAGATTTACTTCCTTTTAATTTAGGACTATGATGGGGAAATGTTCAGAAACTTAGGTCATGAGGGTAACCCTCTTAAGGAAGAGAGAGAAAAACAAGCTTGATGGCAGGGGTTGGATGCACTCAGCAGACCTTGCATTCTCTGTGATAGTCTTGAATATTCCATAGTACATCTCTAAGGCAGCTCTATTCCCAACTCCAGTCCCAACAAACAAGATCCTTGTTGGTTGTGGAAAAATCTGGTTACAGAGCAATGACTGACGTCCATAGACTGGGATCTGTTACAAGCATGAACTCGTGTATACTTGTAAGGGGAGATGAACAAGTGAGTTAGTGCCTACCTGCATAGCTCAGACCCTCTGGTCTCGCAGTTGTCTCCGAAGCTCCAGTTGTGTCAACATTCATTATGTTCCCGTATTTACTCCAACAGCCTAAGAGCAGTATTTACAACCAGACGTCAGGCCAGCGCAGTGTGTGACACATGTCATTAAAATGTTTTCAGATCCATCCCGTGGTAGCATTTTGATTCTGATGCAGGCATTTGTGCTAGCAGATGTGGTCATGGTATCATAGGCTCTGGAAAGGGTGACCACTCAGCAGTGCTAGCATAAAGCCACAGTTTAGCTTGTGAGGTGAACTAGCTTGTGCCCAGTTCATCTCAGATTTTAGCTTGCCTAAAACCCAGCTGTCAAGTCAAAGCTTGTCACTTGGGCTGCCTGACTAGACAATGGAGAAAGGCATCTACAAAAGGTGTTTATTCTACTAAAAATAAAAAATAAATCAGTGAGAGAAGTCCTACGATGCTTCCTGAGTCCAGATTGCTTTTCCATAGCTATGATCAACAGGAAAAATCAAAGAGAAACATCCTTTAGTTACATCCATTGTCTTAAGTTGTTTGACTGGCAATTTATCTGCACTTGACTGTTGCCTAAACATGCTGTCACAGGAAGTAAAACACACAAACAGCAACTGAGAGGAGCAATGCTAACCCGGTCCCAGCAGTTAACAGAAAACAGACTTTGATACAGTGAATTATTTATAAGAATATTAGACAAACATCACAGACCTGACATGTTTGCTGCAGAATGTCTCCTCACCTTCTCGCTGCACTTCCTGGAGACATACGGGCTTTTTATTTATGTTACAGAGCAGCTGACTCAGAGCACTTCCCAGAAACTGCAGGTGTTATGTGAAACAGGAAAGCCTAATAGCCACTTGTGCATCCACCCAAGCACAAACAGGTCCCTGTTGTTATCTCGTACAGCGACAACTAAGGTGAAGGTACAATGCCAACCTAGCAGACTGTGTGGATCAAAGCCACTATAACAGTTCAGCAGTAAGGAAGAAAGTCCCAGGATGGCAGACCTCCCTATCACTGCTAATCCACTCAGATTGCTTCTCCTCCACTGTAAATTTTGTGAGGATGAAATGCTGTTTCAGTCTTTCATCAGATTTTTTGCATTTTAAACTGGAGAATTCATCCCCTGTCATTGCCTTGAAAGATTCAGATATGTAGGTTTTTCCTGTACTGTTGATAGGTCCCATGGAGAAACAGTTGCAAAAAAGTCACAGCAGCCCATGCTTGGAGCTCTTTTACAAGTGAGTTTAAACAAGGTTGAAACAGGGAAGTACCTCTGGGAGAAGAGGAAAATAGAACAGATCTGGCTAATACAGAAGTGGCATTAAGAAAAAAAAAAAAAAAATCAAATTACCACTGAAGATGATTCACAAACCAGAAATCTCCAAATGGCCCGTGCTACCATTCTGTGCTGGGGGAGAATTGTAAAGGGTGCATGTTTGCTTCGTCTACATCACAGTAGAGGCAGGCAGGTAGGTAAATATCCAGTGTTTCCTGGAGCCCTATCCAGAAGTTACTGTTTAATCATACATGTATGCATGGAGCCTCTTGTGCCTTGGGAAGTGTTTTCCTCACCAAAAGTGTATTCAGACTACTGGGAGAGAATGACACTTCCACATTATGTTTCATAACAGCAGCCCTGTCTGTCACAGGTGCCATGCCAGGAAGGCTGCAGCTTGCCAGCTCCAATGAGAGCTCGGGAACTGCTGCAAACCTGGGTCTCCAGGCTGGCTGCTAGGGATGGAGAACCTGTTACAGCTTTTGTCAGTGCTCTTCCCACTATCTCTTGTGTGTCCCATTGCTTGCTTCCCACTGAGGAGGCAGCACCTAAGCCACGCTGCACTGCAGCCTCTCCTGCTATTTCCAGGGCACATGTGGCAGCCTGAAAAATGCCCCAAAATCGTGGTTCTTGTCCTGGATTCCCTTTGCACTTGCTGTTGAGGCACACAGCAATCTCTGGTCCAGGCCAGGCTCATCCTAGTTTTTCATCTCCCAGAAATGCTACAAAAAGCCTGTCAGAGCATGGTTCTGCCCTGAAATCTTGTCTCTTGTGTTGACTTCACCGTGGAGCACTGTGGGTTGCCCTAGGGTGCTGCAGTGCCCTGGGCTGGTGCTTCTTCCCTCCCCTGAAACATCTGCTGAGTTCAGTCCATTTCATCTGTGCAACCACTCCAAAAGCAAGAGTGTGACCGGAAGGTAATGAGGGTATACACATAGGTGAGCAAGGGAATAATCTGACTTATTGATCATCTGTCACGCGAGGAAAAGCCTGAAAGAAAGAGTAGGAAGGGGGGAAGAGAATGAGTCAGGTAAATCTGGTGTCCATTAATGGGAGGTGTATCAAGACAGAAATTTACTTATAAAATGAAAATGTTTGGTACAAGAACTGAGATAATTGCTGCGGAGGCAGACCCTGGCATTTCTCAGAAGCAGGTTAATTCAAAGGGATTCAGAGAGTTGTTTCTCAGTGTGGGAGTGAGTGTTGGCTCGTGCACCAAAGGTTTATCTGAAGAATTCCTGTGTTAAGCTCCTGAGAGGGGAGGTGATACCACACAGCCTGGGACAGGGCAGCTTGGAGATGTTTTTAATTAAGGGCAAAGCAATGGCTAATGAGCTTTTTTTTTTTTTTAAATTATTTTTTAACATCATACTACAGAGATTTAGTCTATTTTTAATTAGTGTTTAACAATTCTATATTTAACTGCTTTTAACTCTATTTAGATGTTATTTTTAATGTAGGAGTGTGAACTTGTTTTTACTGGATTTACTTTTGTTTGTGATGTCCTTAGGTGTGTCCTATCTGGCTTTGCAGCAGTTTTGATGGCATGAGAATGTGAAAGGCTGAACCTTTCTGCGTCAGAAGGCTGAAGTTGAGTAACCCTGCTGGGAAATGATTAAACAATGCAGGAAGGCAGTTATTATTTGTGGCTATCTGCTTTAGGGTGAGTTGTGCTCTGGGAGCACCCATTTCCCCTAAGTGGCTGTGAAGGGAACCTAGGGAGACAGGCTCATCTATGGATGACAGCCATCTAAATTTAAGTGACCTAAATACAGAACTATTGGACAAATCTTGTTATCCTTATTCAAGTAGAAACCTCATGCAGCAAAAAGCTGGAGGCCCTGGGCCACTGAGGAGATGGTATTGTTGAAGGGAATGAGAAGTGTCTTGCATACTTGTGCTCCTACAGCTCAGCTTCTGGCAAAGGACTGAGGTTTGGGGAATTTTAATATAGAGGGAAAAGCTACCTTCTGTTTGCTGGCAGTCTGACACTGTGATGAAATTTGTTGGGCTGTGGTTTTGGGACACTTAACAGTTTGGTTTTTTCTTACGTCAGCAGAACCTGTTGCCTCTCTTTTTTTTTTTTTATGAAATCAAAATTTGCCTTGTTGCAGCATGTGACAGTTGCCTCTGACCCTCCTTCTGTGCACCTCCAAGAAAAGTATGACTTCAACTTCTCTGTAAGCCTTACAGAGGTAGCTGAAAAATGTCCCCCAAAAGCCTTGTCTTCTCCAGACTGAGCAGATCTAGGTCTGTTGGCCTCTGCTTGTGTAACTTGGGCTCCACCTTGATGGCCTGCACTGACCTACAGCATGTTAGGATCCATTATATACTGAGGAAGCCAAAAGTCAACACAAGCGTCAAGCAGATGGGAAGGATCACCTCCCTGGATCTGCTGCTGATGCTTTTCCTAACACAGCTCAGGAGATGGTTGGTCGCTTTGCTGCAAGGGTGCATTACCCACTCATGGTCACCTTGTTGTCCACCAGAATCCACAGAACTCTCTTTGCAGAGCTGCTTTCAAACTGGCTACTCCACAGCATGTGCTAGTACCTGGGGCTTTTCAGTCCCACACGCAGGACTTGGCAGGACCTGTAGTTGAATTTCATGAGATTCTTGTCCAGACTGTCCACATTCTTCAGTCCTGCCCCATCAAGTCCCTGTGACCTTTCTGGGAGTGCTCTCTGTGCACAGCCCATGCTGGTGCTGTGGACAATAAGCAGTGCTAGCTGCAGGATCAGTTTCTGAGAGTCACCACTAGTAGCTGGCCCCCAGCACGTCTCTGGACTGTTGACCATTATTAGCCTGTGGCCACCACAGCCCAGCCAGCTCTTCAGCCTTCTTATAGAGCAACCCAACTGACCTACTACAGTTCCGGTATGTGTAAGTGCAGTACCTCTACCCATATTACATATAGACAGGGCTATGATCCATTCAATGAGTAGTATTGATGAGCTGTCAGTAGGCAGCTCTTCACTGATCACAGCAGCCACATGGGAGAGGCAATTCTGGTTTACCCAGAAGCCAGACTGCAGGGCACCGAATCAGATCCGGTATCAGCTACTCTTCACTCATCTCTCCTACATCTGGCAGGACAAAATCCTCCTGAACTCTGTCAGGTCCTTGATCTGAAACAACAAAGCTGTGGCTGAATGGGCAAGGAACTAGTAAAACGAAACCTGGTTTAAAGGTCAGAATTTTCTCCTTGCCTACCTTGCAACAACAAACATCTCCAGTTGTTACGCATGTTTCTGGAAGGTCAAGGGTTGCAGCAGGGTGGTTCACAGGGGGAAGACACCAGAGTCTCAGGTCAGCTGCATCCTCACTGTGTGGGTTTTTTCATGCTTTTGAGCATTTTCCCTCTATTACTAATTAGTTTACCCTACTAATTACTCTATTTTCCCTCTATTACTAATTAGTTTACCCCTACTAAGGGTAGGGTAAGAAATAAGTGATCCTAATTATGCCCCTGGGGGAGAAACTAGTCTGATACAAGCTTTCCAAAGAAATGCAGCCAATTTATGCTGCAGGAGGTGACCCAGCTCATGGCAGGTAGGTGGGATACTCTGGGTGCCAGGAACTCTTGTGCTAGGGGCAGGTCTCTTGTCCCAGGGCTGCACCATGGCCCTGTGCAGAAATAATGTTTTGGACAGATGCTTGAGGCATGTGAGGAACTGGCAAAACTTCATGGATGAGAGGAGCAGCCTAGAAGGAGTGGGCTGCACCAGAGCTGTAATGCAGCAAGACTATGGGTCTATAAATTACAGAATCATGGCAGGATCAGTCCACACCTCCTGCAGATTAACAAGGGAGCCACCTTGAGCTTCTCTAGTGATTTGCACCCATGTTTACTTTATTTCAGCAATTTGAATCCTAACAGGTTTTCATAGTTTTTAACCATTAGTAGAAATGCTCTTGTTCCCTCTCAGCATGTCTAACACTCATGGTTTGATATCTCTTGTTCATCATTCATATCCCATCCACGGATTTGAGAGAAACTTGTGTAGGACAGACTTGTGCAGCTCCACTTGAAATGCCTCATCATTTTGACCACAAGCTGCAGATAACCATTACTTTTTGTAGTTGTCTTAAGGCCCTTCACATATGAAGACACTTCAGATTACTGTCAAAAGCCTTACTGAGCTCATGTTATCACAGAATCACAGAATCTTAGTGGTTGGAAGGGACCTTGAAAGATCATCTAGTCCAACCCCCCCTGCCAGAGCAGGGTCACCCAGAGCACATCACACAGGAACGTGTCCAGGCGGGTTTTGAATGTCTCCAGTGAAGGAGACTCCCCAGCCTCTCTGGGCAGCCTGTCCAGTGCTCTGTCACTCTCACTAATAAGTTTTTTCTGATGTTTACATGGAACCTCCTATGCTCCAGTTTGCACCCATTGCCCCTTGTCCTACCACTGGTCATCCCTGAAAAAAGCCTGGCTCCATCCTCCACACACTTGCCCTTAACATATTTGTAAACATTGATGAGGTCACCCCTCAGTCTCCTTTTCTCCAAGCTAAAGAGACCCAGCTCCCTCAGCCTTTCCTCATAAGGGAGATGTTCCACTCCCTTAATCATCTTCGTAGCTCTGC